GGTACAGGGTAACCTGTGGATAATACTGAGCAGAAAGCTATATCCACTCTTTATCATAAATAGGCCCCTTCTACTGTGATCAAGGTTAAACCCCCCCAAAACCAATGTATTAAAATAGTTTCTTTAGTATACTATAATTATGGTTGATGTTGGTGCTAAGCATTGTAGATATGATTGTCTCATGAAATTCCTATCTGAAACAGTGTCATCTCTAAGAATTGGGAGGCTTGGCTACATTTTGTGAGGTGTATTTTGTACAATTAGGTTTATGATGGGAACGGTTTTATAACTGAACTGTATAGGCTGCCATTGCTTGTCTCCTGATGATGCGCTTGTCTCCTGATGATGCAATATCCCTATCTGTCCTCCTGGTCTAATAGTGGCAATACTGCAGATCAATAATTTTTTCCCCCTTGTCATTGAGCCAAAATGATAAAGCCAGAGACCAACCAGGCTTCTACCATCTTCACAGTGCAGTCCACAGTGGCAGCTTAATTACAATTAGGGAAGTTTTTTCTTTGCATATATATATTGTGTTATCAATTTTCTTTCCCTATGCTTTGAGATTTGTAATCACAGGCATAGCCCTGTGATAACATTGCTTTGTTTATATTTAGCCTGTCTGCATTCTGCACATCTCTGCAGTGCAGAGAGTTACATGCTTGCAGATCTGGAATGAGAAAAGGGGAAGCATCAGAAAATCCTCTAGATGTGTATAGGGCTTGATAGTAAATTCTCCCTGATTTGGTCCTCTTGGTTACACTTTAGATCCCAGTAGTCAATGTTTCTTGGTTGTATCCCTCTGGTAATCTCCATGAGTATATACTATGTCTCCCATTGTCACTGCATCCCGTACCTGTGCGGGTGTCCGGTCTATTTTTTTTATACCTGAATTGTTTGCTTTTATAACTGTATTGCTGTGTCCTAGGGAATACTCTGGTCCTCATGACAGGATGTGCTTGGTCGATACTTGGTGAAGTTTGTTTTTTATTTGTCTATTGATCTGTTATTGGCTGTCTACAAAACTGTTCAATAAAAATTATGATTAAAAAAAAAGATGTGTATTTTGCTTCCAAAATTAGCTTTCTGGAATTTTTGGGGGGCTGAAAAGATGGAGAGCAAATTAGCCCCGTTCATAACAGTGATTTGCCTTCTATCAGCAGTGCAAACTAATTTTCTAGTAACTGCAGAAACAGAACGCAGAGTTAAAATAATAATTAGTGGCTCCTGGCAGTGAAGACACTGCCTCACCTAGGTATGTAGGGCAGATGGCTTCCCTGTTGTTCTCAGCCCTGGACTGGAGACAGTTGAAATGTAAGGGAAGGAAATGTTATCGCCGAGCCTAAGCTTAGGCACCCGCCAGTTCAACCACCCTATCCCTCAGTCTCTGCCTTTGTCTGCAGCACTCTCCTGTGACTCCAGACTGGCATGAAGACATACCCCCTGGGGAGGAGGAGCACCGATGATGTCCTGGACTCACAGGAAGTGGATAGAATGGTGTGGTGCATCATTCTCTCTGGTAGTGGGACATGGCTGCGGATGAAGTTGAGTGTCTTTAGGAAATAGCACTTGAGGGGAGGAGAGAATAGAGTGACAGCTAGCTGAAAAAATAAATCAAGGCAACTGGTCCTGCTACATGTTTCTTGAAGATGTTTTGCTGGTCATCCAACTAGCTTTCTCAATTCAGAATTAATGAATTCTGAATTGAGAAAGCTAGTCAGGTGACCAACGAAACATCTTCAAGAAAAATACTGCAGGTGCAGTTATACAGATATACCATGACCCGGATGAATGAGAACCTTCACATGCAGTGAAAGCTGCTTTTTATGAGACTTGGGAAATGACATTTTTATTTTGTTAGGGTTCTAACTTTGAAAACCTTGTTTTCACATGGACCTGAGATGACAGTTCTTAATTTACAGAGAAAATAGGTTATATTTGTAAAGTTGCATGGCTTCCCTGAATATTTCAAAAGGTTAATAGGTTTTAAAAGTAGTTATTTAATGTCAGCATGCTGATTTGCAGTTTGTGTCAGAAGAGTACGTGTCCTCCTTCCATTAGCTGTGTGTGAATGTAGAAATAGAACAGCAAAAAGTTTCCAGCACACTCACCAGCCGGCATGCAAAAAAACTTGTCTGACCACTAAGGTTAAAAACAGAAGTTTTAGATACACGTCTTCTGCAGAATATGTGAAAGCCGCACAGCCTCGTCAAGGCACCTCTGTGTAGTGCGGTCCTAACTCTAACCTGTGAGAGTCTCCATCTTGGAGCACATGTAGCAAAAGATCAAATTGGGTGCAGGTTTACCAGGAGGAAGCCCAACCCCCTTAAAGGCACAGGGACGCACAAGGAACCCCGCACATTACAACGGCAGCTGAGACCCCCAATGCGTCACTGCACCAACTCAGTCAAGCAAAATAGATGGCAAACGCACTCATCAACTTATCACTAGCTGAGTGTGTTTGCCATTTGTTTTGCTTGACTGATTTGGTGCAGTGACGCATTGGGGTTCTCAGCTGCCGTTGTTATATGCAGGGTCCCTTGTGTGTCCCTGTGCCTTTAAGGGGGTTGGGCTGTCTCCTGGTAAACCTGCACCCAATTTGATCTTTTGCTACATGTGCTTCAAGATGGAGACTCTCACAGGTTAGAGTTATGACCGCACTACACAGAGGGGCCTTGACGAGGCTGTGCGGCTTTCACATATTCTGCAGAAGACGTGTATCTAAAACTTCTGTTTTTAACCTTATTGGTCAGACAAGTTTTTTTGCATGCCGGCTGGAGAGTGTGCTGGAAACTTTTTGCTGTTGTGTTGTACAAAGCCCTTCCATGTGCACCTTGCTTGAAAGCTGGTGATAAGTTGATGAGTGCGTTTGCCATTTGTTTTGGTAGAATGTAGAAATAGAAACACAAACAACAGCCCAAGGTAAAGAAAAATGAAGAGAATGATTTCTTCTTTGTAAATCTCCTTTAATGACCGGTACATCTCTGAGTAAGATAATATGCAATTGTCAAGGCTGCACTTAGTGCTCCCTCCATACAATTTGAAAACCTCAATTCAGGAATTGGCAACACGTTATTTATTTTATTCCATACAGAACATATTTTAGTTTTTAAGTCTGCAATCAGAGCCACAATCTTAGTGCAATGTTATATTTATTTTTGTCTTACAGTAATTTGGTTGCCATACAATAGTTTTGAGGATTTGGAAAAGTGCAATTACAGTAGCTTGATTTTTTTTTTTTTTCCTCCTTTTAATTTGTTCTTTTATCATTGGAATTAAAAGCACAAAAATACAGCAACATTAACAACGTGAACACAGGCTGTAACACAAAACTAGAGAGGGAAACAGACTCACTTAAATTTAAAAAAAAGAAATTAAATAACAATTTATTGGTGGTGGACCCGGGTGGCGAGTGTTGGCTCTGACATGGAATTTATGGAATTCATCCGAATTTAGATTATGAAGGTTTTCGAAGAGAATTTCGAACAGAATTAAATTAAACAAGGTATCACAGAATTATATATATATAAAAAAATTAACGTAAAATAAAAGGGAGAAAAAAAAAACAACTCTGTGATTTAATAAACAGTCACATGAAGTCATTTGTATAATTATATAATAAAAGGAGAATTGCAGAATTCCCCAGCACTGGCAGCTGTGCAAGTTTTACACAATTTACAAGATTTAAATTATTTTTTTTGTAAAATTTTGGTGTTTGTATACACAGAAAATTACATAAACTAGATATGTCAAGGAAAAAAAGACTCTCTTAAATTACACTATGTAACAAAAAAAAAGTTCTAAGCCTAAGATCTCCGAGTAGCATGATACGCAACGCTACCGTATCTGTACCCCTGTACAGTCTAGAACTAGATGCGGGTTATTGATCTTTGACACTCCTTGCTATTGGTTCCTGTTGGAACAGGGACCATCCTTGTTACTTGCTGATGAAAGTCTATGGAACCGGCAGCATATAGGTTCTTCTGCTAAGGTTTTTTTTATGGCATTTCTTTTTTTTTTTTTAATAGCAAATATGGACGAACTTCCGCCCTATACACCCTTTCAATAAGATACTGTGTAAAAATATACTATTTAGTTAGCTCTTATAACTGTTCATCTTATTTCTAGTAAATACATATTTTAGTCCGGTGCTTGAAAATAAGTCTACTCCAAGCAAAGAGATTAAAAGAAAATACACAACCATTCAGGGGACAAGGCCCTCACTGTAATAAGTGCACTGGTCACTTAGGCACAATGGGGGCAGACATCTGTTTGCTGGGAACTGGTTCTAGACATTCAGTACAGTGGATTATCTCTTCAATGTAGGCCTTGTCTAGACAGGAAAATTAACAAATCAGATGTAGCTTAGTTCTCCACAACCAGTAGGCATTCCAGCGTGCAAAGTAGCCTGCATTTACCTTTTGGGTCAACCATGTCTCATACACATGATGTACTGCGTATGTATGATCGCACCCCTCACCACAGAGGTGATTGGAAGCGGTCTCACAAGCCCTAATGCATGCAGAAGTGGTGGGCTCCAAGCTGTGGCTATCTGACGGGTTTTTTTTTGTTTGCTCGTGTTAATAAGGCCTCACAAAAATGGCCCACTTTCACCGTTTATGGATCCACTTTAATACAATTTTCCATCCGCAATCGTCTCGTTCACCAGCAACGTTCATATCACAAGCAGATTGCAACAGTTTCCTGGCACATATCGAGAGGTAATACCATATGCATTCGATAGAAAGAAAAGAAAAGTAACATGGCCTTTCTGCTTTATAGTTTTAATTCTGAAATTATCACCGAGTGGAAGACAACGATGGCTGAAAAACCATTTGTACACTTTGTAATAAGGGTGAGATTTCCACTACAAAATAATGGATCGTGGAAAGAAAAGTTTGTGGATTTAATAGTCTCACCCAGCGGATTATGGAAACGCAACCAGAAATACTCTCAAATAAAACACCTTTTTGCTTGGTTTGGTTTTTTTCCTTTTGTTTTTTTTATTATTACAACGAAAAATATGAACCTGGATACAAATCGGTACCTGCAAAAGAAGAACATGTAAGATCAAGACTCCCGTGTCCAGTCTCAGAGGAGGGCCTCGGTCACCCAGGCCAAAAAAAACAAAAAACCAGCATGGTCCCTCTGACTCTGAACAGGGATAAATGACTTTGTCTCCATAAAGGGGGTGGTGTCAGTGACAAGTTCTACATCTGCAGTACCCACTGCATTATCCGTTACCCACTGCTGAAGAGAAAAGCTCTATTCTTCTTTGAAGAAGTTCTAGAAAGATAGAAAATACAACACAGCTCAGCTGGTTCATGTGCATTCAAATGAGGCTGATTTTTTTTTCCTTTTTTTTAAAAGGTTGAACTAAGTTTTTTTTTCTTTTTTCTCCAAATAATTATTCCACAGAAATAGTATTATAATAAATCACAAAAGTGTTTTTGTTTTTTTTCCATTTTTCTTTCTACAACTATAGTGGCACAAAGGCTGCCCAGTAGACCAGCCACTTATCTCCTTAAAATATTGTGCTTATAAATTATCTGTACAGCTATTTAAACTTGCAGTAAAGTTTTCTCTAAATTTTATATTTTCATTTAATTATTTAAAGGACCCCGTTAAGAAACTGTCAGGAAAAGAAATTCTGAAGAAGCAAGGCAAGGTACTTCTATCTGTCCAAAAGCTGTTTTAACGCTCGTTCTATGTTCATTCTGTGTCCTACTCTTGTGACTCCCAGATCTATCAAATCTTCTTTCTGAAGGCTTGGTAGGTGGGTCCCGTCTATTTCGTTGTCCATAAACATCTCCCTGTGTTCTCCAAGGTGTAGACTTTCCAACCAGTCGGCGACATCTTGTTTAGTCCACAGATGGACAGGCTTTGCTGAAAAAGGCTTATTGGAGATTGGCTGTTGTAAAATTGATGGGGAGGGGGACCTGCTTCTTCCCATACTCATCCCAAATAGGTCCCCAGTGGGGGGCGGAGTTGGTAGGACAAAGACATCAGACATGGAGGCGGGTGGAGCCGACAGTGGACCAGGCTTGATATCTCTGGTGATCTCAACAGGACATACGACAGGACTGGGCGCTCGCCTCATGCCGGCTATCCTGCTGTCATATTCGGGCGTCCTATTCTGTAGCATGATTGGCTGGTTTGCTCCAGGACGGACGGTGAAAGTGACTGTGGTATTTCTGTTACCTGAGACTGTACTCAATGCATCTATGCCCCTGCAGAGGAAGAGCAGAAAACCGTTACAATAGACGTGACTGGTAACTAACATTTTAAAAAGAATACTATTGTTTTATCTGTCAAATAATTTTTAATTCTGTGCAGCCAATGAGAAGCACCGCTCCTCCACGGCTCAGGGAAGGAATGAAATGGGTACTTGCAGCTGAGAGGACATCCTCACTCCAATATGAGCCCATACAAACAAAAGAAAAGCTGGCCACACACCAGATTCCGCTGGGATACTTTATTGCAGCTTGTACCACATTACTGGTGTCCTGACGGAGGTCCACCCCCTTTTGATGTTTTTCGCCCAATCACAAGCTTAGTCATAGAAATCGTTATGACTAAGCTTGTGATTAGGTGAAATACGTGAGAGGGGGGTGGACCTCGGTCAGGACACCAGTGATGTGGTACAAGCTTCAATAAACTATTCCACAAGAATCTCATGATTTGCATGCATTATCTAGAATGGCTGGCCAGCCAAAATTAGGTAAAACCGTATTTTCAGTTTAATGGTCCTTTACAAATCAGCACAAATGCGGCATATTATTTGACTTAAAATATGTCTCTCATGACCCGTATAATACCTTACGCAGCATTTCTATCAATTGCAGATCAAAAATACATTTCTGTTTCTCTGAATATCTCGATTTCCCCCTAAACACTGCAGCTCCGGCTCAGAAGAAGAGGTACCAGCAGAACTAGAAGTATTTCTGTAGACCCAAACAGTAACCTCGCAGTACTTCTGTCTTATCTCCTTCCCCTGCCATATTGTCATGCAGTCAGTGATCACTACTAATGCTCTCTATACATTGTGAGGCTGCAGAGTTCAGCACTGGCCCTTGCCGCTGTTGGGCGTAAGAATGTCTATGAACAAGAACCAAAAACAAGTGTTTGGAAATATCTAAACCAAGAAGATTTTGTGGAGCAGTGCAAAGAGCAAGCGTCAATTGCACAGTGATAGTAACCATTCAGAAACAAACTGACCGAGCCATGGTTTACTAAAATCTGCCTATGTGAATGAGCATGTGTGCAGTGCTGTATTCAGCTTCTATCTAAAATGTTCTATCTAAATGTTCATTGTAGTTACCTTTGTATTAGTGTAGATAAAGCACACTACGTGGCAGGTGTGGTAGAAAAACAACGTAAAAATAAAAGCCAGCCACCATCATAGTATGGGTCTTTCCATAGCCTCTCTTCCAGCTGTACCTGCTAACAATGCCAATGAAATCTCTGCACACTATGCCCTTCTGCCTGTGCCATATCCAGTCCTCCATTTAGATGCCACAACATGTGTCCTGTACCACCCAACATGCCTGCTGCACTTTGGGAGACACCGTCTATACCAACAGCACTACATTAAACGTAGACTGCCTTTAGGAAAGGGAACCTTCAAATGACAGCAATTCTCCACCACATAGCTAAACTGTACTTTTGGGTGGTGTGTCATAGCTGGAGCCAAGAAAACTGGAGCATAATGGAGGAGATGCCTCAAGCAGCCAATCAAGTTTCCTTTTTCCATTCACAAGGGAAATCAAACATGGAATTTGGGTGCCATGGGCAACAGATCCATTTTTATTCCCGTCTTTGATCCAGTCATCTTCCATGAGCTCCTATGGCTGTGATGTTTTACTGCTGTAAACACAATGGCCTTGAGCAGGAAAGAGCAGCAATTCGAGGTGTATGCTTCATAAAAGCATCTGTTACAAATATGATTCTGATTCCACACGTCAGCTGCTGAGCACATGAAAGGACTGGACTATGAGGATGTTTATGTTTAGAAACAAACTACTACCGAAAGCATAAAGACCACAACCCAAGAGAGAAAAAAACCCACACAAAAACAGTCTCCTGTACAGATAAAGGTGTTTGAAAAGCAAATGTGCTGCCCATGGCAACTTGAATCCACCTATCACAGGGAGAGGCATTGAAAAAGGTTTTCAACACAACCAGTATCCGAATGCAACACAGATCACACTGCACTGGGGCCTTATTTCCTCTACTGTGGAAGAAAGGGAATGATTACTGAACAATCAGATTTTTGAACCTGTAGTGAAATCTAAAGCACCTGTTCTTGTAAGCCTTAACCCACGCATGGTCTCATTATCAGAGATGCAATGTATGGTGACCCTGACCTCTCTCTAGTGATCTTACAAAGCTGTGCAAAAAAGGAGAAATACACTGCCACAGCCTCTGTCATATAGAGTAGGGAATCATGGCAACTACTATGAAGGATATGTGGGTGTCTTTCCCAAACTTCCAGCTGTTTTCTTTTATAGAATAAAAATCTGTTAACTGGTTGGTGTCGGCAATGTGGCATTATGACTTCAAAGACTGAATCATATTTTAGGCCATTCATGAAGAAAACTTTTAACATTCCTGAGAGTCCACATGTGTGTGTGTGATCAATATCAATTTCTCTTTCCTTCATTAGAGGACACAGCTCTGTTTTAGATCATTACCACTGGGTGTAGTGGCACCTGCAGTAGCTTTGCCTTAAGGTGCCCATACACGGACCGAAATTCGGCCGGTTTCTAATGTAGCTGCCGAAATTTGAACAGTGTGTGGGGCTGTCGGCTCCCTTTCATCCGGCATTCCCCGATTGGGTATTCTGACAGGTGGCGGTGGACACCTATCAGAATACAATGCAAACAGCGGAGATTCCTCGACACGCTGTTTATGTTGGTTATGTTTATGTTTTTCATTCAGCCTGCAGGTTGAACAAAAAAAAATTGACAGGTGTATGGCCAGCTTTAGAGCATCTGTCTGGATGACCTTCTACTACATGTACAGCCTCTTTCAGGAGTTTCAAAAAGTCCTCACTGGTTCCGTCACTTCACCTGGAATCCTGGGCCTGAGCTTGGACACCAACCAGACCAAGTTCCTCCAGTAGGAAAAATCTAGGGAAACTACAACTTCATGTTTGCTTACTGCAACCTCCCAGGTGCTAGTGTGTTGGCAATGCATCAGAGTTGGGCCTTATGGTAGTGACCTTCAAAGCAATTCTCCAAATCACACAACGCCACACCAGGAAGTTGCAGCACAATATTCTATTGCAGTTGAACAAGTCTCCTCTGTCTCTGGAGAGAAAGATCAAGGTAAATTGCTAAAATCATCTCTAATTTGGGGGCTCCTTGCTCCTTCCTCTTCTTTGGAAAATAGTAATGACATATGCCAGAGACTGGGAAGGAGTACTGGGTTTATGGTCCACTTAAAGTGTTTGGGGCTGGGAGTCCCTGCTCATCAATGTGTTGGAAAGGCGTGCAATCAGATGAACTCTGCTTCAGTGGACACATCTTCTAGAGGGACACCCTATGTGGGTGCAGTCAATGTCTAGGTGGTGGAGTATGATAAACACCAGGGAGGATCCAAGGGCTAGGGTTAACACTGGAGATACTGTACATCCTAAACTGGTGATGTGCCCTGTCCACAATACACATACCAGGAGTAGAAAAATGGCAAGTGGATTAAGTCTGGATCTGGGAGAGTGAGCCCTTCATCCAGAGGAATTCCAACAAATCTGCCAGAGGTCGATCTTGTGGCATTGTGTCTCATTTGAAAGTTGGACAGGTTTCCAGCAAGCGCAAGGACCCTTGGGCAGATGCAGTGAATGCGTTGGTCACTCCATGGATCACTACACTGAGATATATGCTTACCCACCAGGAAACTTTTGCCACATCACAGGGATTCCAGTGATTCTGGTGGCTCTGGATTGATCCCGTAGGTCATGGTATGCGGAACTTGTCTGTGTGGTAGTAAACACCCCTTGGCCTGTACCGATTCAATAAATATATTGCTTTATACCCTCTGGCTTTAGTGGCTTGGCTGTCAAAAAGCCAAGTGCCAAGGGAATGCGGGCTATGCAGTCATCCACACAATGAAAATCCCTGTCTGGCAAAATGTATTATAGTACTTAGAAGGCGTATATTATGGGGTGTGGAGTCCCTGGGAGTACAGCCTTGTTCCTGGCTCTTCTCCAAGGCTGGGTAAACCAGTGGTTGTCCTTAAGCAAAATTAAGGGTCAGGTGTCAGCCTTGGCAGTCCACTTTCAGCATCCTCTAGCAACGCTTGTCTACAACTTTATTCAGGGTGTTATGCACGTCACCCCTCCGATTAGACCACCGTTATACCATGGGACTGTTAACCCGGTAATGTCAGTGTTACAAAAACTGTCTTTAAAGAATATTAGGGAGATCCCGCTTCTAACGCTCTTTTGTCCTAGCAGCCATTACTTATGTATAGTCACAAAGCTGGTGGTGTTGTCTCGAAAGCATCCATTTTTGTCCATCGTTAGGATAAGGCCATTTTGTGCCGAGACTCTCCTTTTTGCCTAAGGTGGTATCAGCTTAAATGAAGACATGTACTCCTGTCACCTTGTCCTAAGCCAGTCTGTTCTATGGAAACTGCTTCACATTCTTTGGATGTAGTCAGGGTGATTGGGGTGTATTTATATGTCACATCTGATTATGTCACATCGCATTCTACAAGAGTGGCAAGTGTATCCTGGGCTTTCTGCCATTGAGCATTCATTTCTTAAGGCAGCCTCTTGGTCGTCAGTTCATCCGTTCACAATGTTTTACAATGTGGATGTGGCAACATCAGCGGATTGCCATTTTGGCACATAAAGTTATGCAGGCGGCAGTCTGACTGGCCTGCATTGTTTTCTTTGAGATGGATAGTGTGGTTTTTAGGGTTTTTTTGCCTGCACCTTTTGTAAACACTGCTTTGGGAAGTCCCTGTGATATTGGGTCCTCTAATGAAAGAGATTCTTTTTACTCTCTGTAAAATCCTTTTCTTTGTGTTCGCTGGAGGACGCAGTACATAGGTTTGCTGCTGCCTGTGAGTTAAAATATTTTGTGTTCGTGCACTGCTGTATTATTAATTGAGCTTGTATCACCCAGTGTCCTACTCCTGCAGGTTGCAATATACCCAGCGGTAATAATCTAAAGCGGAGCTGTGTCCTCCGATGAACACAGCAAAAAAAAGTTTTATGGTAAGT